AACACCATATATTTCCCTAAAGTGTGAAAACTAGCATGTTCCTCATAGTGACTAGATCATGAAGGGGTGCAACCAGCCCACGCTGGGGGTGGCTTCGCCATAATTGATGAGGTTCTTAACGCAGCGGGGCGGGGAATTATCATCGCGCCGCGACACCCTGGTACAAGTTCTCATTAATTTGTGATTAGCCCTCAGTTAGGAGACTCTTCTAGAGGCTTTCTTCTAATTAGATAATCAGTTTTTCCACCAGAAGTGGGATTTAAACGTCTTGAGCAGATGTTATTAATGTTGCGTACATTAAAGGGGAGATAGGGATTCCGAACATTTTTATCCTAAGCCCCATTTTGCATTAGAAATAAACAAATTGTTGTAAGTAGCTTAATCTTTGCTTCTGTTGAAGGTGCCTCTACTTATTTATTTACGATACCATGGATTCAATTTCTACCGTTCTAAAAAGGTTGACTATCTATTGTGAAACAGAAACAATAATAAATAAATACAAAAGAAATAAATGCTGACACAATAATCTTCGGAACGAACGGACAAATCGTAGTCTTATTTATGTTACGCAAAAGTGAGATAAAAATTCGTTGCAATATCTAAAAACTCAATTCATCCCCTAATAAATATCTTAAGCATCGTTTACTCAGAATGAGGCAAAACGTTATTTCCCCCATACTGTTTATTTAAAGGTGGATTTGTTGAATATTTATTCACGTACGTAAGAACACATATGTTAAGGGGCGATACAGATGTATTTTATACAACAAAAAGTTTATTCAAGTGAATTTTTAAGTGAAGCGAACAACACAAAAAGGTATCTTGATATCGTTGTCGCTGTAACGAAAATGGTCAAAGAATGTCAATTTATTCTTCCCCTATTTCTTTCATTTCGTGCGCATATTCGGAATGAATTCATTAGGTTGCTATTTTTGCTTGGTCTCGCGAAACTACAATAAATATACAATTCACATCAGCGTCTATTCCTGTTCCCTCTTGCTGCCCTCTATATTTCTCTATCTAAGTGGTTTTGTCTAAGAAAACCTACGTATCAGATTAATTCGGTTAGTGGAGGGGTTTGGATGGAGCCAATTTGTCTGATTGCCGTCAATTTATGTAAGTTACCTATGTACGCCACTGCCTTTGGTTTTCAATAAATTCTGACCCTATCTTGTTACGTCCCCATCGATAAATATTTGCGCATGATCAATTCAATAAACTTGCTTCGCAGTTGAATTATAATTTGATTTATTTTTTCACTTGTATTTCCTATGGGTAATCTCGTCGCGTTGAATAAATAAAACTTATGCCTTGCCATTATTTACTTTCTTTCCTTAAGTAATTATTTTAAGTATCACCGAGGCTCGGCATCCGGGCTACAATAAAAGTAATTAATCCACTCAAGTGCTTACGAAAACACAGCAAAGGGAGGGAAAGAAAAAGCGGAACTCGTAAAATAATCAACTCTCACCTCATAGAGTGTAGGGCGTATTGTTAATTATAAAGGTTATGTATCCAACGACCCTACCGGCCATTACCATCGCAGTACACGCCTCTTTTGGGTAAACGTCCCAAATCTCGACACGAGGGGAAAAATCAAACAGTAAATATCGGAAAGCAATCCGAGGTGATTCTATTAGATTGAGTTAAGCGGGAGGCTTACTTTGCTTTGAGGTCTTTGGGGCTTACAAAATGGGCAGTCAGTGCGATTTATTTTTGATTGAGTGTTTTTAAATGCTACATATATGTTCCAGAATATTTACAGTCTTGTATTTTCTCAGTTTGTATAATACCACATTTGGCTACTAAGAATTACTTAACTTCGCGTGCAAGTCGAGATACATCAGACCTCGGTGCAGTTGGACCGGCCGGCCAGCTATCTAGATTTTGCCTTTCAAAGGGGCTACACTTCTTAATTGGCATTTCTTGATTATTCAGGCTTATTTTAAAACAGTATCTTGCTCCGATTTCGCACTTAATTAATCAAACGTATTTGGAGAAAAGGTTTCTTTTCTTTTAAAGTTATTCAGATTGTAAATTGAATAAGTGTATAACAATTCAATATAAACGTCGGAAAATAATTTTCTTTCCAACAAAAGGTTGAAGTGCCTACCAAGTTCTTATTTAAAATACATTTTTATATAAATGTCAATGGCAGTGCTGCAGTGAGCACGGGTTAACTCCTGCGATCGAGATAAGCCATCACATTTAAGATATTTAAATCGATTTTCCCCAATTTTCCGCGGGCGGGCGCGAGTTAAAGCCCGAGTCAATTTATCCAGTGTCGCTGCGGGCCTGTGGGACGGGGCCTTTCCATTGTTCACCAAATGAAGTACGCGGCAAGCTTACAGGGCCGTTACACTGCTTCCGTCATCGTTTTATGGTCGGGAACATCGACTGTTCTCTGTCTAATAGTAGTTATTTGCGTTCAAATATGGGAAGCAACAGATTTCCATACTATTTGTTGAAAATGTTTTTAAAATTAGGTCGAACATTGTTGTTACAACAAATCTTTAAATATCATATTTATAAAATATACTCTTTGATGCAGATTTATTATTCTTGAACGTATTCTACGTCTCTCCTGAACTACTAACTAAATAATACACCTAATTGTATACACTTTTCATTTATTTCAGATCAGTGGCAACCCTCCAGTTATTCTTTCATTAAGGAGTTTTGCTTATTTCGCTCAACCGGAACCTATTTGTTGGGTTGCTATTTAAAACATTCGCCCCGACTGCTTACATAGATCAGATACGTTCAACAAAGGCTTTTGTAATTAAGAAAGATATTTTAAGTCGGCAGCAGCTTGACTTTATATACGCAAAATGAATTTAAGGGTGTCTCGAATTTTGTAAGACGTAGTGCTTGATTGTCTACAGTAAAACAAACATGGTATAGTATAACTTAATGACAGTAATCAAAAACGCCTATTCTAGAAGAATGGTGTCCTCTATTTCAAACTGCCTATCTACGGCAATATGTTACTCGTGTTCCATTCATTCGGTTGAAAAAGTTTACCAGGCAAAAGCTGGTAAAACTCCAACGTCCAAAAATCGGTATCAAAGTAAAACACGCAAAGCAATACTTCCGTGGGCTAACAAAAATAAATTTCCGAATTCCAACCCCAATTTAGGAGTGCATTATTTTCGCTTTCACAGACATCCGATACAATTAAAATCTTCTTTAATTAAGGGACGAACATGAATCATTCGCACGTGGCGCACTGAGTTTTCCACTTGTATACGCAGGAACCTTAACACCAAATGGCTTACGACAATAATTCTTCGAACAAATTTCAACTTTCCAACCAGCTACTTAGAGGTTATATTGGCTAACCCCAGTTAAGCAGTTAAGGCGTAGTACTCCGCACTTTTTGGGTATCTCTTTTCACTTTATCGCAGTGTCTCCGTTATTTACTCGTACGTGAGGGATGCTCGCAATAAATAGGTGCGCACAAACATATTTGACATTTACAAATACCTCCCAAATTGGTTTCCTTGGCGTGACTGGCCGTTATTACGAGTTTTGTTTACTTATTGCTCCCGCACAGTGGCAACTTGTAATATCATCACAAGATTTTGTTGGGGATCATTTCTCAAGATTGTGTCGTATTAAGGCTAGCCGCCAAAGACCGTGGCTACTCCGATCTTATTTTATATGATTGTACTAAATCTATTACAGTCCTATATTAATCAGATTAAATCGAAGTAAATAAAATCAAAATGATTAACAATGATTCCAAACATAGATTTTTTTAAATTTCAGATTATTTTAAACCTGAATATTTCAGTGAGTTTTATTGGACATGTAAAAATGTATCGCATTTGAAAATAGAATGTATCATCGACCATTAGTACCGCTAGCACGTGGATCGCATTACTCAACGAGTGATTGAACCGACGCTTTATCCGAGAGTCACTGGCCGAAATCCAGTGGAAAAAAATAGATCATTCGGCAAACGAGGTGCGAGTAGTTCCACCATTCTGGGTGTCCGTTGGGAGTTGTAATTCAAGTGACAAATATCGAAAGCTACAATTCATATTTTTCTGCTATCTCCGCGTCCGTGTCGCCATCTGTGCCGGAGGGACACTCGCTATTGGTTCTCCATCAAGCGGTCGTGTGATGTATTTTTGTTGCGAATAAAACATTGTATTTTTTTCCATCGGGAAATGTTTTATAAGTATTTTTATGGTTGCTACGTGACGTGTTATATTAGGGTAAGGTATGTTTGGGGAGCAGTGGTTTGTCCGTAAATGGACAAATGCATAAAGAATGCAACCCTCCTCGTAATGCCCGAAGCATCTAATAATAACTATCTACTTTACCACAAATCTAATTTATCGTAAGAAGCACTAAACAAGATTGTGTTGCACTCACACCAAATGCATTTTAAAATTTAATAAATAACCCTGATCGATGTAAGTGGCCGGTAATTTTAAAATCGCGTTCATTGTATCGACCGAAAATAGTGTTGGCGGTACATTGGCCATGCATTATCGAGATCGAAAATTTCACGTGCCCATATAATTTTAAGCTCGTAAAGCCCGGACAATAATTCACCGGGAGCATTTGCGGAAAATGCATTTTATTGTTAAAACGTGAATTTTATTTATCGTCGACAGCCCGCGGTGGGGGGGTTGTAGTGGGAGTTGATTTGCAGTAGCATCGCATCGAAGCCACCCTTTGGCACGGATTATTTATACTAAAGGTAATATCGCCGGTTCATTATTGGGGAATGTAACATTTGCGTATTTCACTGACTATCGTTTGCAGTTCATTAAAAGTAAGCTATGAGTGCATTTCGGTTGTTGATTGATGTTTAATGTTGGTTGTGTTGTTATCAAATTATGTGGAACGAAATTTCTCATGTATTATTTTTGCCACAATAGTCTGAGTTGTGGATGTGGAAATAAGTGAAGAGTGGACGATGATGGCTCATTGTACGTATAGCCTAAAAAATAACCGAAAGCACTTTCAGTATGTTATAACACTACCTCGTTTCCAAAAAAGTTTTCCATTTTCACACGACGTGTTTAATTCGTACAACGCCATAATTCAACTCACAACATGGTCTGACATCTCGACCACTCCCCTCTTCACTGCAATCTGCAACCAAATAACATCCTTCATTAGCACCGTTCAGCGTATAAAATTACCAGTGCGATTTTAAACAAGCACTTCGCACAATATAACTCATACAATTTCGCTGTAATACTTTATCTGGTAGTCTAGCACGCGTTAAGGCGGCCCTTTCCGGGCTGATATGAATCGCGAGGCGTTGCCGCTACCAGCGATCTTGGCCAGCCTTCACATTACACCAAGTTTAATTGCAAATCACTTTTTATAAATGCAGTTTTAGTGTTTTTTTATTTAAGTTATATTTAGACCAGAATTATTTATCGAGATTAAAAATAAGGAGCTTATCTAATACAGAAAGAAGTTGTTTGCAAGTCCATAAATAAATCACGAAGAGAGTCTGAAAACAGACCAGTAATTTTACTGAAAGTTGAGTTGAACGACAGATGTTCGCATCCATTCGAAGCGCGAAAGGAAAATGCAAACTCTTTTAAAAGCTATTTAGCTGCAGTCCCTAGATAGCGTCTACCGCAGTGGCTGGCTTGGACCGTTTTTTCCCCGCTGAAAAGCCAATTTGGAATGAATCACTGTAACAGTGGCGAGCATCTGTGCTAATTTACCTACGGGCGGACAGTCTAATGCGACTCGTTCGATCGTAAATATCGAATCGCGACCGAGCGCCGAATATCGAAAGCCGGCATTAGTCGGATACAGCTAATACACACGGGGGTTGCTCCGATAAATTATCGTGCGTTCATTTGGGCTTCGATGTTTAATCTATCTGTAGCGATACAGTTTCGCTTCGGGCTATTGTGAGTTTTGAATCGTGAGAGAATTATTAGCAAGCGATAATCTATCCTTTGGATCTCTGAACGGGCTGTGAAGGACTAGAACGTGTTAGCAAGGAGCGGGATGTTGAAAGGCAACACCATGTTTACTCTAGATATTTTTCTACAAACCTATACAAAAGTAGGGACACAGATACCTTTGAACACTTCGTAAAAACATTATTTTGACACAATACATACTTCAGTGTAAATAAGTTTGCAAAAGACACAGTCGAATCACAAAAATTTCACATCAAATGACTTTGCGATATCCGAGGGAATCTTGGAGCGTACGTTGTTAAATTGAACTGTGACAATAGTATCTATTGCCGCTATCGATACGTATCTATCGATATCGTATTGTATAGAATCGATGTTATATCGCTCGCTATGTTTGCGTCTACGAGCTAGTGATGTAGAGCTGAGTTTGCGATTCGTTCTGTGCGTGGCGTATGCGTGTGTGTGTTTTATATGATACTTCATTTACGAATTCGCGCACAGTATATTATGACTGTAATCAAATTTTCGTACGAAATGCGTTTTTTTATTTATTTTTATTTTACGAGTTGAATGCCAGGTGACTTTTTTATCAGATTGGCACGCGGCAAGAGTTATTGTTTCCGCATTTTTATGATTGCTCAGTGATTTATTATGAATAATTAATCCCTAGACATTCGGTTCTGATTACATCCATTGCCTATTATTTTCATGAAAAATGATAACATGACATAAACAAACCAATTTCCTTCGAATGTTGTTCAGTAAAATTCAACAGAAACATTATTTACATTTCACTAGTCTAACACAATTATTTTCTTTGTTTCAGGTATGAAACCTTCCAGTACATCTAAACACGAATCGACAGCGGCTTTCCTCAGTACTTTATCTAAACTATGTAGATCAGGAACCCCAATAAAAAAGCTCGGGCTTTATCGTCGCCACAATTTTATCAGACTCCTTTGATATGCAATAATGGGGGCAATGTATCAAACTAGCTATCTAAGTTAAACGCAATTTGAAGTATGGCCGCCTCTTAAGTCTGCCACCCCCCAAAAACCGGGGTATGGGACGGGAGACGGGGTTGCCTTATCGCGGAACTGCAGGCACTTCGCCCGTTTACCTTAAGATCTTTAATATTAAATAATATACTACAGTTAAAGCCTTAAACGTAATGCTCGGCAATGCTTTATTGCCTCTGAACCGATCTAAATCTTCTCGAAGCTGAGTATAAATTTTAATCAGTTTAACCAATTTATCAGATTTTCGTTAATTTCAGTTAGTTTATCACTATTCTCCTTTATTAACTGACTTTATAACAGACTCTAATATAATTATTGAATTAATCGCTCTAACAGGCGTTCAAGTGGCCCTTGGCTACGATTTAAATGGCTTGATGTGACCTTCCTAATATTCCGGTTTTGTTCCGAGTGCTAGACCCCAATCGACAAGGTCAACAAATCGTTTACGGAAGCCTCTCTCAAAGGACCTCCTTGAAGAACTAAATTTAGGGACAATTTTCGTAGTATGGCTACATTTTGTTTTTGCGACCGACAAGTTTCTGTTTTAAAGAGAAACTTTTTCTATTTTTTTCTGTGCTATTTTTAACGAGTATTATTTACTCATTTGTTATGAGAGGATGTAGATAAAGCCTTGCTTTCAAAAGTTTTGCTGAAATCCTGTTTCGTAGACGACATTAAATCTACTGACAGCTGGCTGTGCGCCATTTTTCCCCGATTACGATGAATTCGAAAGACCGTACGAGTTATAGCGTGTACGAGTAAATGTTTGTTGGAAAACCGATGAGGATATATATATGCCCGGCGATCTATCATTTTGGGTTTGAAAGTAAGACTAAGATTTCAAATAATATCAATTTATAACACAAAAGCATCAGAAAATGTGCTGCAAAGGCAGAACTTTATATAGATTAGGTAGCCTACACGGCAAGTCCATGTATCTTAACATCCGCGTGCCGGCATGCAACCTGCGTGCACCACAGGGGAATAAAGACGTTAAATAATTTAATCGGATGCCTGGATGGTTTATGCACGCATGCTCCAAGAAAACACGTTCCTCACTCGACTCCGCCTAAAGTGTAGGTGCGTATAACATAAGTACTTACTGTTCACTGTATGCTGTGGCGTCCGTTATCTTCCGCATAATGAACTGTCACATTTCATCATGCCATCCAACATTAGTTCTTTGCCCGCCCCGCGGCGTGTTTCTCTATTTTAGACTTTGACTCTACGACGTTTGAACTGATTTTTCTTTGTCGTACAAAAGTCATTTCATCCATTATTTCGGTTGTTACTTCATTGTTCTGCCCACATCGTAGTCTTTAATAGAAGTATCTCCATGTAGAGCTGCAATGTAAACAAGTTAGATAAATACAAACAAAGTTTGAGATATTTATGTCATGAAAACATTTTTAGCATTGTGGTAGATATAAAAAAACTGAGTGTATTATAATACAAAACTATATATTATGTATGTTCTAGTTTTACTGAATACATATTTGGTATTCACTAAGTGACAACCTAATTGGTTCCCAATGTTTTATATTTGAGGTGCAAAAGAGTAAAATTAAGAAAAGAAAAAGAAAAGATAGGTAGGTATTGAAAATGCTTTACTGTAACCAAATAAGGTTATACATCGACCCTTTACCACAGAATATACCTTTACGAAGTAGATAATAATAATTTATAATGCACTTAAATATAAATTTTTGAACATGAACAAATTGTGTTAAAAATTTAAGTAAGCTTTCATCAAAATTGTAGGCATTACTATGCAAATTACAATTAATAATTACTTATTATATATTTTTCAATATCAACAGCTGTTTAAAATTATTTTAAACTTCACAAGTTAGCCTTGTCACAGATATCATCCATGAAAATTAATGTTTCAAGTTATTATTTACAAACTTTAAATTATAAAAGTTACCTATATTATTAACTGTTCTTAACCAATCTTGTCTTTCATCAAAGTACTCAATAAAACCTTAACTTATTCATCACACAAACATTGAAAAGTAGAAAAGGAATTTAGATAAGCCTATAGTCTAGTTATATTATATAGCCTAGTTCTCCTAAAAGGAAAATTCTCATATAAATTTCAAACCAATTCTTTATGAAAATAAGTACTCTTAAAGTGTTAAGTCATTTAACGCTCATCAATATCAACCAATGATATATCCGTGGCCATTTTGTATTTCAAACAAAGTAACAAACATTACAAAGTATTATCTGTATTATTTTGTACTGTGTAGGGTCCCCATAAACTAGACAGGGCTTGTGGTGAAGGCGCGTAGGCGGTGATCTAGTGTACCGTCCTTAGACTATATTGTTTTCTAATGACTCAATAGTACAAACTCAACGTTTATACTGTTTAAGTTAGATAGAACGGACTGATAGAACTTTATTCAAATGACACAGTGAGCCAAATGATTTAATTCCTGGAAAAAGTATCTTTGTTCACATTTCTATTTTTATAATGTTTAAAAAATGTGATGATTAAATAATTTATTATAGCGTGGCATTGGGTGTGAGCCTTTTTTAAGACACGCCCCCAAGCAAATACCTACTAGCCACGCTAGACAATTAAGCACCTAGATAGTAAATCACATGACATTTCCACAACGCATTTTTAATTGAGATTATTATTTTAATACGTTTATTAATTATGTTAATTCTATTACATGTTATGGATATGCCTACGTTCCATATCACAAAATCATTTCAAATATATTTCAACATTTCATAATTATTCCTAACCTCATGCACATTAGCAAAATTAAGATTTATGCGCAGTACAAAATTAAATGCCTTAACCACAATGTATTGCAACGTGAGTCCCTAATGTAGATACACGCATGATAAATAACATGCCAAGATAGGGTGAGAAATCTTACTTAATTTAACTAATGGACTAATATAATGCTGCGTCTAATATGTGGCGCCCATTGTGCGCCGAGAAAGTTACTTCGACCAAGTTTACTAACACAACAAAATTACTGAAACTTCATAATTGTTTCAAAGTTTTTTTACATTGCGGTTTCATATGTATACATTTGTATTCAGTTTTCATTCGCCATTTTCGTTTTACCTATTCTAACTTCGTATAAATTAATGAAAATTTTATCAGAGTACCTAATCGTTGCTTTCATTAAATTTATTTTCACTTTACTGTGTTACCTCCATAAAATGTTGAATGGAACATAAATTTTCATTTGTCAGCCAATATTTTCTAACGCCCCTAATTTTTTCCACCGTTATTGGATGTCGGATCACTGTGCACCTAACTCAATATTGAAGAACACGTGACCGCAGTAGATTGACGACTCTCCTGTGTAGCTGTAATTAAGTTTTACCACACTGTGCAATACCCTGCGTAGGCTACATAGCTACTACATATTTGTTGTACATATTAGAATGAAGGTAACGATGCCTTTTATGGATATATATTTAGGGTAGAACTTATTTACCTTTTTCGACTTTAATTATGTAGAATGGTCTAATGTTTATGTATTTTACGTTACATTGAAGTCCTTTCATTCATACATTTTAAAAGGCTTATTTGATCCATTATCTGAAATCTGACTAACTATGTAAGGTATTTCTAATATTTGAAAATGTTTACAGAAAGGAAATGACAGCTGACTGGAAAGATTCTATCGACAAAATATATCTATCCGTTAGGAGCTGCTGAGTGCAGATAAATAAACCGGATTTCAATGGAATGTTTCTTAGAAGCCAAATGAACTTCGGGACAGTTTGTGTTACGTTTTTAGCTATATTGTACTTATTTAGGATAGATGTAGTTGCTTTGCTTAGTGTAAACAATGCAAATCTCGTTTCAGTAAGACGTATTATTATTGATGTGTACGTACAAATGGGAACGCACTTTTAAACTATTCTAGAATATTTTATAAAACAAATATGCCATCAATAAGATGCTTGCAACTTCATCCTATACATTAGGTATGTTCGCCTTATAAAACACATTTTTAATAAAATTTATGATTTTCCGATATTAAAAAAGCTTTACATAAATAACGATCGTTAATAATATTGGACGTTCTCAATATCTTTATGGACACTTAAGCTTAGTATAGACAATCCGATAAAAAGTTTACGCCTTTATAGCCAGTTAATGCAATAAACGATAATATGCACCAACCCTATAATCGTAACTACTGGCCTTTCGGACCCAGTGCTTAAGAAAATCATTCTGAGTCGAACGTGCTCATTGAAAACACTTATCCACTTGGTTGAGTTGACTGACATCATTAAGTTTTTACTCTTATTATACGCCAATAAACAAAACCTTGGTATTGTGAGGATCGGTCGGTTCACTCGCAACAGGGGGAACAGAAGGAGGTACCACCCTCTACAAAATTATGTACGACGAACTGGGACTAATATATCAAGGGGAGGACGTGCCAGACTAAGGAGACTGGGTATTATAGGGTGGGCCGGTGGAATACTTAAGAACCCTGGTGACACCCCATTAAAACACACGTCCCGCATTTTTGGCCAGACGTTTTAATTTCGGCCCAAACGCGAATTGGATTAGGTCCGGAATTTGTGGTGTACATTTTAAAATTGGGTGTGCGTTGTAAGGGTTAAATCGAGACTCGCAATTTAAATATTTTTATGAAGTAGCTAGTAGGTAGGTTTTGTAATAACGAGCTGGACAATTGTATGTCAAGGTGGTACTTGACAACTTCTTTCACACTTGCAACGCGTAAAAATGCCAATTAAAGCGCGCATCTAAATGTTAATTCTTAGTCATCAAGTGTCCTTTTAATAGAATTTATTCAAACAGCTTTGAGTCATAGAGTCAGCTTTGTTCACAGATACGTTATTGCGTCCAAATGCAACGTAAACGGTTGCAACCGGCTGATATTACACGAAACGAGGCGTGAAACACGCGGTGCTCGCAGGACGCATCCGGAATCATAATTCCAAAATAACTTCCATCCGTTCCCCTACCAACCCCCCACTTCACACACCCTCTCCCCGCACTTTTTTTGGATAAACTGGAATCCCCGTCCCACCGTTAATTCCCAAGATAGACATAATTTGGAATTGGATCCATCTATCGCGCGTAGTACCTACGAACAAAAATAAGTTAGCGCGCGGTACACGGCGGATTTATGTGGGCGAAAACAAAGCGACCAGTACATACATTTTGTGTATCTATGGAGCGGTGCTTGTCAATGAATTTAAGCAGTTATACCTACATAGTTTCTTTATCATTTTTATTTAAAATTCCTTCAATGAAATAAAATTAATTGTAACAACAATAAGTTTACTGCTAACCAGGGCTATAAACCTTTTTAATACAAATTCATGATGAGATTTTAGAAATTCTTTAAAGGTTTATTTTACCGAAAAAACAGCAACTAAAAGATAAAAACGGCTAGAAAGTAGCCATCAAACAATTTATTTTACGAGAGATCCTTACGCTTAACAGGTCATAAAACGAGTCATAAACACGGGCTCGTCCATTCACAAAATACTCTATGTTTACTTACCGTTTTAAATGCAAATACGATTACGGTTGGTGGTGTGATATTTACAGATGTTAAAAAATATTTCACACACCATTTTCGGCCGTATTGTTGAATATTTACACAGCATAAAATACGATTTTGCCATATCCAATAACGTGAGGCTACAGCTGACGTTGCACAGACGTCGTACGAGATAAAGTATATGCGCGTTTTTTATTTCACCTTTGACACTTTAATCCAATTTGTTTCCTTACATCCCGCCCTAGGGATAGGGGAAGAATTTTGTCCTTATAATTGTTATTTTGAATTTAAAATTTTCCATTCTTATTTATCAGCATCCTAGTCCCTTAAGGACGAAAGCATTTTTATAAATTTTTGCGCGTTTTAATTTTTAGAACCATAAAAACTGACATCAATTTACATATTTAGAAGGCCATGCTAGCAGGTACCTAAAGTTAATATATTTACGCTTAAATACAAGGTTAATATACCGTGCGTGTCTAACCAGAGAGACAATATTTCACTAGAAAGAAGCGCTACAAATTGAAAATGGTATTCAAACCGTGATTTATTATTTAAAATACAGATAGCCACTGTCAAGTTCAGTGTTATTTATTACTTATATATTATTCCTAATAACCTTTACCACTACGCGTCATTATTTTTTTATTTGCAAAGGAATGCATAGTTCACGTTAGCCGAAGTTAACCCGTAAGTGGTCGTGATGGCTTTCGAGGTCGGCCTACCGAATCTTTTTATAGCCAACTAAGAAAATTGGCTCATTAATCTTAAAGATAAATGTCCAGCCACTATTTGGCCCATCTTATCAGCGAACAGAATGAA